CCACCCATTACCATATGGTATAGTATGATAATATCAATATATATTTTGTACCACACAATACTATACAATACCATATGATATAGTGCGGTAATATCAATATATATTTCGTTAAACACAATACCATATGGTATAGTGTGGTAATATCAATATATATTTCGTTACCACACAAAACCGTATGGTAATATCAATATATATTACCTAAAAAAAAGGAGGGAGAGGGGAAAAACTCGTCTTCTGTCTCGTCTCATTTCCTCCGCAATCAAGAACACCAAACGCCAAAAAAAAGGAGAAAACCCGAAATTGAGGCCATCGAGTTGATGAAGAGAAGAAACGCAATGAAAGAGGGTGGCTGCAATTTTTCTTCGTCGATTGTTGGAGAAAAAAAACGAAGAAGAAGAGAAGGAAGTTGATCTAGATATGGAGAAGGAGATTGAGAGAGAAAAAGGAAGAGAGAAAGAAAAATGAGAGTTGCAGAGAAATGATTATTTCTCTCTCCTCCTTTGAAAATGCAGCCATTAGAAGTCTCAATGGCTAAATCTCGACCTAATTTATTTTATCACCCTAACTTAAAACCGCAAAATTACTTAAATAACCTTAAAGAACTAAATACAAAATTAACAAAAACAAACAACCCCTATGGGCACTATCTCTTTCATTTCTTCAATACACCTCCTCGCCAATCCCCCTGGTTAAGGGTGGGCAAACGGTTCGGTAAACCCGAATCAAACCGAACCGAAACCAAATTAAATCGAACCGAAACCGAATTAATGCTATTCGGTTCGAAATTCGGAAGGAAAATATGGATAGTAAATATTTGAAATGTTTTATGCCTTATGTGTTGAAAAGTTTGGTTTTATCATTGATGATGCATATAATTGATATTTATTGTTTATATTAGGGGTGAAAAATAATTTAAAAGTGAGAAAATACAAGTAGCTTCATAAATTCGGTTTTGTGTGAAAAACCGAACTGAACCGAATTATAGTTCGGTGTAAACCGACCGAACAGAATTATAATTCGGTTCGAATTCGGTTTGAGGTTTGGGAGAATTCGGGGACCCAGTAGTCATAATTTCGGTTCGGTCGAAACCGAACCGACGAATGCCCACCCCTACCCCTGGTGGTGGTGGCTGCCATTATAAAGCTTTTGAGTTTAGACTTCTCCGATTCACTTTTCATCACCTGAGCAACGGAAAAATGAATTAGTCAACAAAATTGAAAATCGAATCCAAATTGATGAGATACTTGAAATCTGCAGGGGGTATAATTTAATTCCGAAACCTACCCAAGAGACAATCGAAGCGGCGAGGTTCTAGTGGAAAGTAAAGTGGCTCAGGATGCATTTCTCGAGTTCCTCCGCCAGCTTCCCGAACAATGATTTCTCCTCGCCGCCGTCGTTTCTGGCAAAGTAATCATAGATTTTATCCTCGCATCCCTTGATTTTCCTCAAGTAATCGTACGCCAGCTTGCGTAGTTGTCGTCACTCGCTCGGATTTGAGAACCCTACCTCTCCACCTTCCTGCCGTCACTCCCCGACGATGTCGCTGCCTCGTCTAGCCTCAAGATGACTCGCTTGCTTACTCTCGGTCTCTGGCGATAGTACTCCCCCGCGACGCGACGACGAGAGCAACAACAGAGCAGATCTCGTTCTCTGCAGGAGCCGCATCGCCAGATTAACACCGTTATCTCTCCCGACCATAGCCCTGGTACCCAATTGAATTGAAAATGAGATGCATGAAGGGAATGCAAAAGCGGAAATAGGGCATGCATCTACTTTTTTTCTTTCTGGTTCTCTTCTTTGCTTTGCTTCCGTCGGGATAAACCATTGTTTGAAGAAGATAACCCGTGGGAGTTGATATTGCCCTCCTTCCCGGAACGGGAAATGGTGGGGTAATATTTCCAACAACCAACTATTTTTATGCGTTGTTTGTTAAAAGTAAACTATTTTTTATTAATAAAAAAGGATAAAAATGTAATTTTTATTCGTATGTTAGGGTGATTAAAGTAAAACACAGGGCGATAATTAGCAATCCCCTTAAAAGTGGTCTCCGCCTTTGAAAATGCATATATTAAAAGTGGGATAAAATAAAAAAAATTATAAACTGACAAAAATGCCCATCCGGACCCCGCATTCAGCCCAGCCGCACGATGAATCCGCCCCTAGATCTACGGTGTGCGTGCAGTTATTGACTCTATCCCATACCTAGAGGAGGGATCTCTTTGTTTTAGAGATGACAACGTATCCGAACATATATTGACTGTCCATTACTCTATCCTATTCCTAACTAGTTCGAGTTTTATTCATATTTATATTTGTGCAAGACTTGAGTAGAAAATTAAAATTATATTATATTTTTATTAGGTTTCAGGTATTCATGAATATTCATAGATAATATTTTCAATTATTTTTTCAACTACTTGGTTACTAATCACTAATCACAAATATATTAACAGTTCAAAAGTGAAAAAAAAATATAAAAAAACACCAATACTAAGAGACATAATAAAAAAGGAACACAAGTTCATGAGATGCTACAAATATACTAGAAATAGCTAATATGTTAAAATAAAAATTGACTATCTATACAAATATTTTGTGTATGTATAATCGGGCCGCTTCGGATTGGATAGTGAGAAAATCATACACGCTCATTACTCGTGATATTCGGGTTCAGATTTTACGCATACCATCTTGTATTTTTATTATTATTTTGGTTTACCCTACCCATTCGGGTTAGATCAGGCGGATGCCCAAAACTCTGAGTATAATTTCCATCCCTAGTTTGTTTGTTGTTTATTGACACTGGAAATCACTATCGGTCTCAGTGTGATTATCACCTTATACCATATCATTACACTATACTTGTTATTAAAAATGTAATCATGCAATGAAATCAACGAAGGAACAAAGGAAGAAGATATTATCTCTATTTTCTCTGGCATACTACCACACGAAGGGGCACATATCACTTGTAGTTGGATATCATTTCCTAATTCTTTCAAGCGTAGGTACTCAATTCAGAGTTATCAACCAAATCAGAAGTTTGTCTCGAGTAACTGTCTAATGATTTTCAAACCATCTAATACCACTTCACTTTTATGTTATTTTGGTCTAATTTTTGTCCGAAACTCTCTCGACTGAGCACTGTTTTCACGTCACTTTCTTTGATTGGGCTTGGATTGAGATGCACTGGTTGAATTGGTTGTGTCACAATTTCATTCCTCTTCCAATCAAAAAAATTGTTATGGGTATAACCGTATGGTCTGCGGTCGTTAGTGAGCCATGGAGGGAGAGATGCAGGCGTCTCTATGCTGGCAGAAACTCTCCAAGGAACATGTGATTGGTAAAATACAGGAGATAGTGCAATTAATGATTTATGGATCCTCGTAGGTTTTATTCGTGAGATGTCTTGTTATGAGCTAGCTCATGCTATTGGGTCAGTGCTAGCAACTTTTTTTCCAAGGCGACAAACAACCTTTGTAATTGCATCATGCACTTGGAGCCATACATCACCAGGTTTGCGAGATACCTCCGCATTGATCTCAGCATTTGCACTAAAGTGGGCCGCACTACCAACTTTCCAGAGGAGATATTGGGTTCCATGCATCTGCTAAGGTTTATGGCTCCCTTTTGGTGGAATGAGGGTGACATGACCTCTTTTATGTCGGACTCTCTTAATCATATGGATATCAAGGTGTGGAAAAAGGCGATTGTGAACCACTAGGAGGAGCAATAATGGTTAGAAACCACACTCTCAATTGCTAGGACAAGGAATGCATTATAGGCTGCAATTGTAGCCCTCTTGACCCAAGCAATTGAGGGTTGGCCATCCTACTCCATACTAGAAGAAGGAAGAACACAAAGGAAAGGGGAAAAACCATCCCATCATTGTGATGCCCCAATCCTCTCTTGTGCTTGTAGTAATCCTCTCTTGAAGAGAAACTTCCCAAATCTTGACTTGGAGCAAACCCTGGCTTCTTCTCCTTCTTGGTTCGTGGCTTTCTCTCTCTAGATTCTTGAAGAAGAAGAAGAAGGTTTCTCTCACTTTTGGCTCTCTTCCTTTCTTCTTCCTTTCAGATCTCCTTTTATACATAGATCGCGCCCAGTTCTCGGCCGTGACCTAATGGTGGAGACCGTAAACTCGAACTAATTCGCGCCGTTCCATTTAGCTGGTTCGCGGTCCATGATTTCAGTTCACTGTCTTGTGACCGTGAACTGACTTCATGCTAGTAACCTGTAGAATCCCTCTTGAACCTGCCATTTCACGGTTTATGGCTTCAGTTCACGGTCCTGAGGACCGTGAACTTCCTGTTTGGACCGTGATCTTCGACTGCTTCCACCTTTGGTTTGATCTTCACGCCATTTCTTCCAACAATCGACTCTGGGGTTGGTTCCACCTGTTAGATTCTGAAACACACTGAAACACGACAAACTTGGCGTAAAACCACACCTTTCGGAGCTCAAATGCATAACTAGTAGATACTTCGTTTAATACACGTATATGTACCCATTCGTACTTTATCCGTTTAAAACTTATGTATCTGTATTATTGTCAAGCCTTTTCATTAGTTTTCGTTCATTTGACGGCTCCCGTACTATACACGTATAAAACCCATATAACACGTTTAATATCCGTATTTAATGAAACAAATTATTAACTTTACCAATTTTTACATATTTATTTATTTATAAAAATAATTAATTTAATATATTTATGACTATTAACGTACTATTAAACGTAACATTAGCTAAAAGACGAAGTATATTACCCGTACGTATGTTATACATAACTTTCTCATACCGTATTTTACTAACTATGCTCAAATGCCACAAACACTAAAGATAAATGGGATCAAAAGTGTACATTTAGGTTCGAATCACTCTTTTTAACTTAGAGACTCGAAAATCATTGATGTTAAGAAATAAAATAACTACTAAATCCGTTGAGAACAAGTCATTATTTTATAAAGTACAAAAGATCCACCGATTCGAAACTTGATCTTCGACCTCTTAAAAAAAAAGAACACTGACAAAACAATTCAAAAGAGAATGACGAGAAGTCGTCGCTTAAATAGGAAAGCATCCGTAAAGTCCGACGAAACTACGCGTACGGGCGCCTACGTCGACTTTAATGCAAGAAAAACAATTTTAAACAAGTTAAAAGAGAAGAACAAAAACAGCTGTATATATATGTGTGTGTTGAGTTCCCCAGCAAGAGCAAGGCGGCCCAGAGATCTGAGAGAAGCGTCATTATGCAGCTAATTCTCCGTGGTCTTGTGGTGGCTCTGGTACTGATATTGGCCCTTGGAGTTGAGTCGGCATATTCCTGCCGGAGCCTTCTCGAACCTCTCCTCAACACCGCCGCCACTACTCCTGCAGGTCGGTCGCTCTTTTTTATCACCGGTTCGGATAATGTAACGCTTTATAGGATTAGTCTTGTAAGTAAATATTCTTGTTATCACTGAGTTAAAACAGTTTTAAGTAATGGATCACGACAATGAATGATTATCGATCTGGTTGTTTTTGTTTTGCAGCACGGAAGTTTTTGACGCCGGCGCCGCCGCCACCGGAAGGAACCCCGACGATTAGCCTTTGCCGCAGCTTCTCACCGCCGGGAAGGCATGGATGATGATGATGATAGTGCGCCGACGGGGAATGGCCGCGGGATATTTCTTTTTTGTTCAACGTACATGTGAACTCCGTTAGTATTGTTTTTGGATATTGTGTCTTTTGTTGACCTGCTGCATGTACGTCTCATCCCACTACTTCTCTTTCCTTATCACGCGGGTTTTTCATCCCTACTTCGATTAATTAATTCCAAGCGCACAAACAAGAACTGTAGTCATTGAGCATTATATTGCATTAGTGGAGAAGGTTGATTAGAGGAGAGCCTTCACTATGACGGTACAATTGTATAAGGCTTTTTTTTTTTTAACTAAGGTAGATATTTAATAGATAGGGAATTACAAAGAAGTGAAAAATAAATAGCGGAAATCAGCCAAACGCTGATTAACCGATGCAAGAGCCATTTTCGTCACGCAATGGGCAGCCCTGTTAGTTCTACGAGGAGAGAAAACAAAACAAATAAGCGTGACGAAGCCTTCAGCAGCCAAACCTCCTCAAGGATTGCTCCATCCCAATCATGCTCTATGACATTCTCCGTTACTCGCCGGATCACCATTTGCGAATCACCACTGAAACAAAGAGGAAATGCCTCGAATTAAGCACCAATCAATTGTATCTCTCAATTGTACTCGGTGAATAAATATTTTAAAAAGAAGAGATTAAAATTAAAACAAGTAAATAGAAGAATAAGTAAAAACAATTGGGAGGTGGGAAACGTGCCTGACCACAAATAGAATCGTGAAAATGTAACTGCAACAGAGAGGGAACCGCCGCCCCAAATTCTTGTTGCCGCCGAAAGGACTCGCCGTCAGCCGGAACTACTCGTTGTAGGAATCGAGATCACAACTCTTTTGAAACCCTACAAAAAGGCAGAACCCACTGAAAAAGAATTAGATTGATAGAGGGAAAGGCACGGTCAGCGACACACGAAGGCGTAGGCAGCAAACTGCTCGAGCGCACGATGGCGAGAGAAAAAGTAATGCAGTTCCTCCTTCCAGAATCGATCAGATTTGACGGAGGCGTCCGGAGCGACGTTCCGCGCCATGGCGGCGAGAAGCGCGATCCCGTTCTCCGCGGCGGCGACGGTGTTGGCGGTGGGAGTATTCACCACCAGTCAGCCGAACTCGCTGGCGGCCTGGAGATCTACGTTGTCAATCCCGACGCCGGCCCTGCCGACGACCTTCAGCCTCTCCTTCGCCGCCTCGAAAACCTCCTGCGTGACCTTGGTCCCGCTCCGCACGATCAGCGCGACGCAGGACGAGATCTTCCGGCACAGATCCTCAGGGGAGAGGCCGTACGAACAGTCCACGTTGCCGAATCCGCGAAGGAGATCCAATCTGGCGTCCTCCAGTTTCTCGGAGACGAGGATGGTCATTTCTGTCTCTAATTGTATAAGGCTTTTGTTTGAGTGAGATTGTTACTATATTTATATTATTAATAATTTTTTATTTCTATGCATAAAATAATAGCACCTGCATTTTCTTATTGACGTGACAGAAAGAATCATTTGGATTGAAATTATGGTTCCTTGTTTAATATCTATAGTTATGGTCCTAACATTTTAAATTTTCTTTTTTATATTAAAAAGGGTTAATACCTTAGTTTGGCCCGAAGTTTAGCGTAAATGTCAGTTTTGCCCCGAGTTTTTCAATAAGACGTTTATGGCCCACTTTTCAAATTAATGGACGAATTTGGCCTCGAATTTGAGTTGACTGTGAAAACTAACAGTCAAACATTAATTCTGTCAACGACTCAGCATTTAGTGCTGAGGTGGAAGTGACGTGGCTGCCGCATCATTTATATTAATGTAAAATTTTGTGAAAAGCACATAAAAAATAAAAACAAGAAATTGAAAAAAAACCTAAAAGAATAATCCAAGCAGAGTAAAATCGGGGCTGAATAATCCCTCTTCTGATTCCCCACCAAGCTCCAAACCACTCAATCCCTCCTCACCGCCGGCTCTGCCACCGTCCGCCTCACGATCCCGCTCCACCACCGGCTTCCTCCATTTCTCCACTCGATAATCAAACCTCGACGCATCTTATTCTTCCTTCGCGTTGCTATCGAGAGGAAACTTGAGAACCGATCTAAGGCGCCTCTCATCTCGACATCCCGAATAACTGCTCCGACGAAGATGAGTCCGAGAAGGAAGATGCCAAGAACGGTCGATTGAACAATCGTCCGTCGCCATTTTGGTTTGAGGGACGGCGACCACGGTCGCCAATGCCAAAGACGGAAGGAGGTCGATGAGGTGGGGAAGAGGAAGGGAATAGGGGTTTCGACAAATTCAACCCAATCTGCCACTTCTTCACCGCAAAATTCAACAACCAGCGACCACGATCCTTCTTCACGATGCAATTGCTCTTCACCGGAATCGTGGAAGAGATGGAAAAATCAAGTGGCTGGGGACAAACGGAGACGGTCTCGGGTTCGAGCTCCAGATCTGAGTGAAAGCAGTCCTCCGGGAGTCAACCTCGGGGACATCACCATCAACAGTACTTGCCTGATGGTTGACGAAGTTCATCGGCGAAAACTTGATGAAGTCACAAACGAAGTTGGTGCGGCGCGGCAAGGAACATGGGACGATGATAACCATGGCGGCAGGGAAGGTGAGGTAGCAGGGATAAGGAAGGGAGGGTTTTTCTTTCCCATGGATTTTGTTTTACAAAAAAAATTTCGTCTTAATTAATTAATGATGTGGACGGCGCCATTGCAGCAGAAGATGCTAAGTCGCAGACGGAAAAAATGGTTGATCGTCAATTTTAACGGTCAATTCAAACTCCAGGCCAAATATGTCCAATAATTTGAAAAGTGGGTCATAAACGTCTTAATAAAAAGTCGGACCAAAACTGACACTTACGCTAAACTTCGGGCCAAACTATGATATTAACCCTATTAAAAATAAGGGTTAAAACTGATATTTCATTCATAAAATGGCATAACATTATTAGGAGTCGTTTGGAAGTTGCAATTGTTAAATGTATGCAATATGGTGAATAGATGTTTAATATTATACATGTATTGATGAATTTCATGCACTCTAAAATACACCGTTAGGTACGTATAAAAGATGAGGTTTGTGGATTTGGTGAAAGGAAAAGTACATAATTGTCATTTTAGAGAGTGTATGAAAGAAAAGTGATGAGAAAATAAAAAGGCATAATACACTTTCATAGCCATAACTATTCGCGTTGTGACAAATATAGCCAGTTTTTGAAAAATAAACTCTTATAGCCACTTTTGAAAACTTGTCTGGAAAATTTAGCCATTTCCATTTCAAACATAAACGGAAAGACAGACGCCGTCAGTAAGCCCTCCGTGGCGCTGAGGTGAATGCCACGCGGTTGCCACATCATCGCCAACTCGACAACAATTTGCCACGTCATTTTCACCTTCTTTATTTTTACCTATTATCAATCTCACTCCTCCGTTGTCGACCATTATCAATCCACCTTCCATTCTAGGTTTGCGGAGGAAAACCCCATCCCCGCCGCTCTCTCTCTCTCTCTCTCTCTCTCTCTCTCTCTCGATCTCTTACCCATCGTCGTCGCCTTCTCCCTCTATATTCCCCATCGCATTTTCCTTCTCTCCTCCCCATCGCCTTCTCCTTCTTCTTCTGGTTCTAGTCGCCGATTTATCCATGTCGCGCAAGGTTGGGCGGAGAAACGTCGGCAGGGATTTTGTCGATTCTGGGTCAACGAACATCAAAAGTGAAGGTGTTGATGCTGTCATTGGCAAGTGCAAAGTCCCTGCTTTGGTACAAACTTCTAGGACTGATTTGAACCTAGGTAGACAATTTTATGGTTGCCCTAATTGGATGGTAAACAAATCATAGTTTCTATGAACTATTTTATGATGTATTGTGTCTTAGGAACATCAATGTTGCAAGATCTGAAAGGTGGGTGCAATTTTTTTCGTTGGGTGGAGTCAAGTTATGGTATATCAGAGGCACGAAATAATGATGTTGACGGTATGATGATGAAGTTGGAAGAAAGCTTAAGGCTAGCCGAATCAAAGGCAGTGAGAATGAAGAAGGATAACAAACTGCTGGAGGAGGAGTTACGCAATTGGATGAAAATTGAGAAAGATCGAATAACTGAATCTCATAATTTGTATCATGAATTGCGAGTTATTCGATATATGCTCAGTTTCTTCTTGGTTCTGAATGTCTTACTGATTATATTTTTGTGGAAGCAGTAAGTTTGTATCGATCGTATGTAATGTGCAAGTTGAAAATTAAAGTTGGTATGAAATGGGGTAGACAACCTATTTTCTTTGCAAAAGATAGCATGGAATGATTGAACCTAACATAATCCTTGCAAAATATTGGGCTTCTACAATAGTCTGGATCACACATTAACAAGCACCTTAGTGCCTGATTACATTCCGACATTAGTCTTGAACATCACCCTAAGATAGAGAGTTCCTTCAGCTACACCTAGCAAACAAACCTAAAACTTAACATAAATTGACTTAACCAAATTACATGAGTCGACAAAGATGATTCTAAGCAAGGGTTGGATGCCCTGTACAAAAACACGACTCATGAGAAGTTAACTAAAATTCTAAGGTTGGGTTGGTGGCCGCTGACTCCCTAGCAGATCCATCTCAGTAGGTTGGGTTGGAGGTGAATTCCCAACATACCTCCCATTTGCCCCATTCAGCTGCATTCAACAACTTTGTTAAATGTCATATTGGTGATGACACATGAAAAAATGGTGTAACTAAGAAGGAAAACAATTACTCACCCTAACATATCGATTACCAGTGGTCTCATCAACATAAACACCAATTTCTCTTGTTGCTTGACGAAGCTCCCTTTCAATCGTAATACGATCGCCAACATTCAACCTCACATCCTAGATTACAAACAATACAGTTAACCTAACAAATATCTACACTAGTTAAACTAACATTCATCTACAACTTACGCTAATCACCTACCTGTATTCCCACTCCCCTGTTCAACGGACATGTCCTGGCATTGTGTGTGGCAGAGCCACACTTGGAGCAGTGGTTGCCTCTCCTCTGCCTTGGTTGACTCTCATTCTGTGGAGCAGCAGCAACTCCATTCCTTGTGGCAGCAACAACTCTATTACTTGTGGCAGAGCTACCACTCTTTCCATCATATACCCCCTAATCCCTTCAAGCATGTCTATAATACAAAATCCTCTATACTTCACAATGTTGCCATTCCAAGTCTCACATATATTACTCTCGACACTATCACATTTAGGAATTGTAGGCAAGAAAGCACGACAAAATATGGTCGGATCAGAAGCCATAAAGTCCGTAAATGGCGTTGGTCCATCGCCATTACCTTGTATAGTCTCCATCTCTTGCGTAGCCTTCTTCCACTCAGATTCGTTGCATGCATACACTGCTTTCTAGAATAATTTTTGAATCATGTCAGTCTTGTTCTTGGCTTTCCAGTTAGCATACACATGTATTATTGAGTGGAGCGCTTCAACCAGACCCTAGTGGAGTGAAATTGGATTAGCATACAAACCATGAGAAACATTCAAAGTAAAAACACATGAAAGATTACTATACCTTCTGCTGGTCCGATATAACAGTCCATCCTCTACCATCAATTAAACCAAGTTCTTCAGTTAGAATATCCACGAACCATGTCCAAGAGTTGGTATTTTCAACTTCCACAACCGCCCAGGCAATTGTGAACATCTGGTTGTTTCCATCTTTACCCACTGTTGTGAGAAGCATACCTTTTACCTCCCTTTTAAGAAAACAACCATCCAGACCAAACATAAGACGTCAGCCCAAAAGGAATCCATCCTTCAAACAGGAAAAACCAACATATAAGCACTTGAATAAGCACTTATCCTTATCTGGGTGCGGGTCAACTTCCAGCTGGAAACGACCATCCCTATCCCTCTTCTTCAGCTCATAAACATATCTCCTAATCAAGTTATACTCATCACTCAAGGACCCACTTAATATCTTGATAGCCTCTACTTTAGCTCTGTAGCAAGTTCTCTTCTTCACATCCATGTTGTGCTTTAACTTCACCTCACCCGTAATCTGTTCCGGAGCCCACTCTGGATTAATTCTAAATCTCTCTAACATATCTGAGGCTATCCACTTTGCTGTGACTTGGTTAACTGAGAGACGCCTTGCACATGAGTGTGGCAGCCCCACTTTCCTCATGAAGCACTTATCCTTCCTGAACCAGCTTGCATACAACCTCCATGGACAGTTCTCATCTTTACACTTCACCTCTCTCCTCGTAGGGTTGCTCCGAGTCCATCTCAGACATGCACCATGTGCTACAGAATGTCTTACAATGCCATCTTTGAACTACTCTACCCCATCGAATTTCATTTTACATATAAACTCAAGTTTCTTATGGTTGCAGAGTGGATCATACCGTGGTGCATCATCATACAAATCACCATCCTCCTCATTTGAAAAGTTTCCCCTTACATTATCTGAGTCTTCTGACAATCTGTAGTTCGAATGCTGAGAGCACTCCCCATTAACATCAAATCAAGGTGGCTGAGGTTCTTCAGGTGGCTGAGGTTCTTCAGGTGGCTCAGTATTCTGGAGGGGAATGGAGTGGTGTGAATTCTCACCATCATCTTGGCGTTCCTCCTCCCCGTTTTCAGAGTCATCTTCAAATTCCTCAAGCTGGTCTACCTCTTCTCCACCAGCAGCAACTCTTGTAATCACTTTCCTTTTCCTCCCTTCACCATATGCACGTAGGTTAGCTCTAGCCTCGTGATATTCATCATCTGATGTCATTACGTCATCGGAGTCATAAACATGATAGATATCAGGAGCAATGGATGCATCTCCAACATTGTTTGTGCCTAGCGGAAGCCTCATCATGCCCAATCTGATTTGGGTCATTTTCGCCTACTAATTCATCCCACGAGTCTGCCATATGTTAAGATAACAACCTTATTGTCATTATATACTATATAATTACAAAATTAATAGTTAATTAGCCTTAAGTGGAACCAACTTTCTGCTTGACAATAAACAAATCGCATACAACAGGCTATCCACTAAAGAGATGCGGATCAAATAACCAATTTCAAAGCACATTTGTCGTCACTATAAATTGACTTTTGTATCCAATGTGATGAGCTTTTTACTTTATGATACAGGGGCAATCTCGCCACAAAGAGAAGTTCTGTGGTCCCTTCACGAACTTGTTGTGTCGCTCTCCAAGCTTTACAGATCGCCAATGCCTATAAATAGATACCAAAAACTGCACTTTAATCAACCTCATTCCAGCAAAAACATTCTCACACTATAACCCCACTCTCTTGTCTTCACTCACCAGCCACCACAATCCAATTAGACGAAAGACTTGAAACGCGAATGCAAAATTAGGGTTCGCCGACCTCGCGTCGCGATTCTGGGTTGGACGATTCAAGTGACAGGTGTGACGAAGGACGATAGCGATGAATGACGACAGCGACGAAGGATTAGGGTTTTCCTTCGTCGTCTATTCACCAGCCGGATGATGCATGGTTTCCTCTGTCTTCACCGGAGATGGAGGAGCGTTAGGGGGAGACGTCGTTCACTAGAGCGACAGAGAAGTGGGTCGGGCCGTCGGGGTGTGGTCTT